AACAAAATGACAGCAACTTGTCTGTTCCCCTTCCCCCAATTCCCCAGAGCTGTTCCCATCCCCCCAATTCCCCAATAAAAATCTTTAAAAAAAAAAGAAAAAGAAAAATGATATTTAAGACTGAGATAGTACCATGACCCAATTTAGAAAATAAGTGCTTAAAAGGGTTTGTAGGTTCAATTACATTTTATAAACCCACTGACTTTTTTCCTGAGGCTATTAGAGTTTCTTTTTTCGGTGTTTTACTCTTATTAATCTGTCGATTCACAGAAGGCTTTCATTTCTTCTTAGGTCTCATACAATGTTACAACTTAAAAACAATCAAATCAAACATTGTATATTTTTATATAGTGCCACTATGGCTCCTAAAACATGCATTCTTGGATATTGTGCTGAAAAAAAATTAATGAAACTAGTTTTCCTGAAATGCTTACGATCCATTTGATTGTAAGTTGAACCAAGCTGTTCAGGAGTACACAGTCTCTCTTCTGGAAGGCTTTCAAAGGACACCATATTTTTTTCATTCTCCCTTAGGTACAGGAGACCAAGGCCAAGAATCATTCCTAAAGGGGCTTGCACTCAGACCACGGCCTTCCAAAACTTTTCATTACGTGTTAGGAAGCCAAGCTGCACCAGTGTTTTGGATGAGGTAAAACTCCTCATTAAATGCCTATCGCCCTACAGAGACATTTCATAACACCTTGGTCAACTGCATGGTCTTAGGCACAAAACCTGAGGTGTGTAGTCGAGGGACCAGTTGCTTTAAATCTAGAAGGTCTAGGAAACACCTTCAGCAAGGAACTTGAACTAAGGTCAGCTGTTCCCTTCCTGCTTCTCATACATCGTGTTGAGATCAAAAGTCCATCTGGCGTCTTAGAGATGCTGATTCAAGTCCCATCACACAAAAACTATTACTGTAGTTCTGTCTTAATGTAAAATCACCTCAAATGTACAGGATTAAGCTATGAAACAGTCCCCTTTCTCATGCCAAATGGTGAGTCTGCCATGAAAAACCATAGCACTTAAGGAAACACAAACGCTTCCTACCCTTTCCTGCTTTGTCTTTGTCCTTCAGCCTAGAACTTGCAGTGCCATTTTGGGGGGTCCTTTTCGGCAAAGGCAGTTGGAGGATTTGAGAGCATGAGAGATACGGCAAGGATAAAAGGTAGAAAAACGATCCCTGAGAAGTCAGGCATTGCTCAGCTCAACTCTCTCTGCTTTCATGGGCAAAATAAACACTACCCAGTCAGAGAGAGGATTACCTACAGGAGGGCTAAGAAGAGGATTTTTCATTGTAGAGAATTGTTATAATTAGATGAATGAAACACTGTTCTGGTGGACCAACAGCCGAGCAGCGGAAGTAACTCGGAAATTGGCGTCTTATTTGTGGTAATGGAATTTCCCTGGCAGTAGCAAAGCATACAATAACGATTTATATTCATAATGTTCTTTGCAATTACATTATCCATTTCATAGATCAGTCCTTTTGTTACACTGGAAGGTAAAGACAATATTATCGTCCCCTTCTCCCCAGGAGAGAAAGGAGGGGCTCAGGAATAAGCGAGTCGTTCAAGTTCACAAGCCTGGCAAGTAACCGCGCTAGGACTCGTTCTGGATCCTGTGTCTCCAAATCCTACGTTCTTGCCATTCTGCTGTCTGAGAGCACTATCTGCAAAGAGGAGCGCTGAACACAACACACTCACATTCTGTGCTGCAGCCTCCACAGATCTGGTCCCCAGTGACGTTCCAACATTCACGGACCCAAATGCCCAGAGTGAAGACTGCTGGGAAGTGAACGGCCCAGCATCTGTTTGCACTCACACGACTAACCACGTCTTTGGATGGATGCACCATGCCAAGGCATTGCTCTGTTTATTCATTAAGTTGAAATAATACTGTGAATTCTTACACAAGCTCATTAACTACTCACTCTGCTTCCTCAAAGAGATTCCCAATGTTTTTCAGCGGCTCCGCGGCTGGGCTCTGGGCCAGGATGTCTCTGATCTCACTGACTTTCTTCTCCACCGAGTCCACCGTCTCCTGGTAAGGACCGATCACACCGCTGATCTTCAGGGCTTGTGCTTTCTCCAGGAACTTCTGGGTCCTGTTGGTCAGCTCAGTGATGATCAGGTCCCAAAGAGCAAAGCACTGGTGGCAGGGAGTGCAGTTGGGGAAGACCCCCGAGTACCCTCGCGTGCACTTGTCACAGCGTGGACCCTCGACACCCTCGACGCAGACACACTGGCCGGTGGACTGGTCGCACTGCGGCGTCTCAATGCCCCTGGGGTCACATTCACAGGCTAGAAGGGGAAACAGCAATGCTCGCTCATCTACTGGGTCACACAAACCTCAGTGACAAAGTCTGGCATTTAGAATCCTCAGCCACTGTTACAATGGGAAGGTGTCAGCCACTGATGACCATTTACCAGCGGCTCTTGTACAGGCTGCAGCGGCTTCCCCCAAAACATGCGTTACCTCAACACTGGCTGACCCCTTAACAATAATAGAACACAAACCTTTCTTTGTAAGGCAACAGTTCTGTGCCTGGCCTTGTAGAACTGGTTTACATGCATCGATCACGCCGTTTAACCCTCTCAATAGCCCTGTGGGACAGGTTACCCGCCCCAAGTTTTACAGCAAGGAAATGGCTGAACCAGGACTCAGATTTAGCACTTGGCAACTCCAGAGCCTGTGCTTTTAAGCTCTGTCCTGCCTCTGCCTTCCTTTGGATCCTATCAGTACAGACAATTCAGGTGACATCCTGATGCTGTGACGCATCTGGCCTAAGATACAACACTAACGAGCAGCTCCTAACACACTTCACCCTACCTGGCCCCCAAACAGAAAGATGAATACTTGGAAAAAATGCAATAAACTTGAGAAAATGAAAACTACATCAGAAAGAAGTCCCAGGAATTCTAAGTATCTAGTTCAAAGGCTTTCAGCTATGTGTAATCTCGCTTGTGGGTATCTGCCATTGTGATAAACACCCCAGCACTAAATACGTAGGCTCATAAAATATCAGAGTGATGGAAGGGACCTGGGGAGCCACTCAAGTCCCCATCTCTCGCTGGCCCAGTGAGGTTGGCATTTTAGGTCAAGTTCAATGGTACAGAGTCAAATTGGCATTCTTGGCCAATGGACTGTGACTGAGATTACTTGTCACAATGCCTGTGCACTGAACCATGGCTTTGAGTCTCAAATCTCAGGTGACTAACATTTTATATCAACACTTGACATTTCTGAGTATTTGAATAGTGTTTGAATAACAAAAAGCCTGTACACACACCTTATCTCTGGCCTTCAATCCTTTCTGGAAAAAGGTGGGGTAAATAAAAAAAATAATGACAATAAAAAACCAAAAAACTGGGCCGGCCAAGTGGCACGCTGGTTAAGAGTTTGGGATGCCAGCTCTGAGCAGCAGGGCCCCGGTTCAGATCCCACTTGAAGGGCCAGCGATGCTGCGCCCTCTACAGCTAAGATGGTAAACAATAGCTCGACCTGGAGCTGGGCTGCCGTGAGTTGCAGGCAATGGCGTAGGCTGCAGTGGGGCTGGCCGGCAGCAGGCGTTAGCTTTCATGAGCTGCTGTGAGTGGCTCTCCAATGGCCGCGAGCAACTGCCTCACCCAGGAAGAGTGCAATGATAATACCAACATGGGCCAGTGAAGCGATGTCCTCCACAACTAGACTGAAGAACAAAACGACAGCAACTTTTCTGTTCCCCTTCCCCGATTCCCCAACGCTGTTCCCCTCCCCCAATTCCCCAATAAAATCTTTAAAACGAACAAACAAACAAACAAATCCCAAGTATCTTATTTTTCTAACTAGACTGAGAATTCCAAGGGCAGGGGTCCATCTTAAACCATTTTTCCATTCTCAACACCAAGCACAGGGTTAACCTGAAAACTGGAGCTCAGCTATTGTTGCCCAGTGAGGCCCTAACCTCATTTCGGTACAGGCTTGCAAGGGACATTTACATGCCCCTATAAAAAAACATAATCCTCCTAAAACGTCAACTGAGACAAAGCACAACAGAGTCATATTCCCTCAAACACCTTTATAAAATCTTCTTGGGTCACTAGCTATGATCTGCCTCTGAAAGACTTTCTAACGCAACACCTTCCAGAACCAGTTTCACTGATGGCCTGAGAGCTGCTCGCAATGCCTCAACCCTCTGAACCCAGAGAGATGTGTTGTGGCCTGTCCCGTTCCTTTACTTTATCTCTCCATTTCCCTTGTTGGCCAACTACCCTCCAAGTTCTCGAGCAGCAAGTGTGAGGAGCACAGCGCTGTGGTCAGAGCACAGCTGTGGGCTCAGGCGGCCCCGCTGAGTCCTGCTCCCCACATCCCAGGTGCGTGGCTCTGGGCAGTAAGGGGACTGAGTCACCGTTTCCACATCTGTAAAAAAGGGATACTGATTACACCCACTTCATAGGTGTGCTTCCAGGATGAAATAACTTAATTCTAAATTGCTTCAAGGAGTGTCTGACCCACAGTAGGCACTCAGTAAATGTTTTTATTACTGTTACGTGCTGTGTCCATGCAAGAGTCAGGTGGTCTCCTGCTCAGGGACTTGCTTGGTCATATTTCCACTGGACAAACAGGAACAAGTTATCACACCTTCCTTATGTTTATCTTTTTATATTTCTGAATAACATTGTGATATTCAAATATTTGAAGTGTGGGATATTCTAGTTTTCAATCTTTAGGATTTAAAACATGTATGTATATAGCATTCTCTTGGTGCCTTGTGTTTTCAAAACTTTTCTCCCTGAAACATATTGTTTCTTTCCAAGCACTTCAGGCATGCGTCATGTTTCCTATGTTCTTCTGGGGCATTCTCATGAGTCACGAAGCAGCATAGGGAGCTGGGGGATACAGTTAAGTGTGCTCCCGAGATCATTAGTTCTAGGACACGTTCCTGGAAATAAGAGTTTCATAATCAAGTAGGTCTGGAAAATTCTACATCCTCCCCTTAAAGATTCTAAACAAACATCAGCAAATTAAAGACTCAGAAGAGGTCTCTGGAAATAACCGTTTCACATTTTTTTACCCAATTATATCCCAAACTCATTTGACCATGGAATTTTTTCCAGTGGAATGCCTAGTAACGCCCCAGAGATTTAATGAGGAAGACTTGGGACAACCACTGCCTTCATCAGTTTCTAAGATCAGGAGAATGAGGAGAACTTAGATGATGCTGTGTCTGAAGGCTGATGTTGTTTCGACTTCAGAAATGGATTTCCATTGCATCTGGTAAAATTAAGCCATCTTCCAAACAGTGAAAGTTACCTGGGTCATCTTGGTCCTTGCCTCTGAAACTCAGGCATGCATCAGAAGCAGCTGGGGGGTTCATGAAACATGACTGCTCCCCCACTCCTCCACCCCCAGGTCTGGGATCAGTAGGTCTGGGGTAGGGCCTGGGAATCTGTATAACAGCTGCCAGGAGATGCTGAGGTGGGGGGTTACTAGATGCCATCTTGAGGCGTACTGATTGTTCTTTTCCCAGCTGTTCCAGCCTTCCTCTTGTACGTTAATGTGTGTATGTAGGGGTGAAAGAGTGTGTGTGGACTGCAGCAGTCATGCCTTTGGAAGTTCAGCCATGCAGGCTGATGCACAAACCTAAGGACCTGTGTAAACAAGGGTCCTTAATGATGCCATTTAATCAATGAGCTTCTCAGTCTGCCCCTGCTGCAGGCCCAGTGGCAGCCTGTGTAGGGTCTAGGGGCCTCAGGAGACTGTACCATCCCCTGCAGGCTTGAGACTACGAAGGCAGGCGCTGCACATGCTTCCAGTTTGCTTAGAAAATTATTGCTTTTCCATAGATAATGCAAAGGTATTATTAAGTTTAGTCCTAAAGAGGTTTTCACCAGATTCATGCTTGGGACAAGGAAATGTGTGCATGTGTTTATGTTTAATTTTCTAATAAATTTTCATTCATTTCATTGGTAAAGGCATGTCTTACTCTCATTCTGTCATGGACATCTTTGAGGAGGAAAATACTGGCCCCAAACTGTAGGGTTTAAAAGGCAAATGCACTCCTATTAAGGTTTGCCTCATTTGTCTTGTATATAACCACATTTTTTTCCCCATAGGAAAATATTTAGCTATGACCCAAGTCTTTCTAGCATATTGTTACCAAGGTAGCACCAGAAAGTCTAAAGTTGCACCCCCCAACAAACCATTTCAACGGAAAGATTTGCAATTGAAGATATATTTGGCAATTAACTGCATAATTTGAGAAAAGTGGTCACATTCTTTTCCCATAGCTCCATCTAATTTTAGAGGATACCTATTCTTGTCCTTTCAATCTCTGGACTCTGTCCCTTGTCCCTTTAAGACCAGTACTCTGGAGGGCCCACAGAGCTTCAGCTCATTCCAGAAGACAAGGACCGGTTCAGCTGAACTGACCAACAGCCCTTTCCTTCTATTGAAAAGGAAAGAGTCAAATTACACAGATTGGCTGGATTGTAGTTTCATCATTGAAAACGTCGACCCTGAACTTTCTCTGGAAGGATACCAAATGACTACTCTAACATGCATTAGGTTTTAATTTCAAACGGAAGCTGGGAAACTGCTAAAGCTCCTGCGGGTATGCCTCCTTCCCTACCTTATTGAGTTTCCAGAACGGCCTCACTAATGGGATCACCAAGGAGGCAAGCACTAGGTTCACATTTACCACCTTATAAAAAGAACCCCCAAGAGTTTTTCTGATTGAAGTAGAAAGGCTGCTTCTCACCTGACAATTTAAAACTTCACGGACACTAAAATGATGAAGGAGACACTCCAATTATCTCTCACACTCCCTGGGATCTATGACATTACAGACTAGCGGTTCGGGCAGTCTCCACCAGGTCCAGTGGATTTTCTCCTCTCCAAAGGGAAACAGACAGGGGTCCAGGTGGGCCTGCACCACAGCACTGCTTTAAGGGATGGGATTACTGGGCAGAGGATCAAAAACTTTCTCTTGGAAAAGACAGTGTGCATACCAAAAATGAACAAATCATGAAGAGGAAGAACAGCATTTTAAAAATGAGACAGTAATCATTTTATTTTTTTAACTGAGCCATCCTGCCACCTGTTGGCAGCTCAGCGGCTGATCAGCTCAGGCTGGGACTTGAACCGCTGTTGCTCAGAGCTCGCACTCTTGAGCGAGCTCTTAACCAACTGAGCCACTCGGCCAGCCCAAGACAGTAATCATTTTAATGAGCCATAAGAATTCTACCTTCATCTGCAAAAATATTCTTTGTTATGTGGTCAGGAGGTTTTCCTCTATTTTTACTAAGTTTTCTCATCATTTAAAACAGGACCTCTGAAAGGTAGGTGAATGAAGAATATTGCATCCATTTTATAAATCTTGAGGTCCAGAGGAAACACTAGCAAGTCAATGCCAGAATGGGAAATAGCCTACAGACCTCTTTACCAGTAGGTATAAGTTTTCTGCTTTTAGCCTCCCCTGCCCACTGAAGAAAATCCATCCTCAATGACTTGGCATCCAAGGCTTTTTACAGTCTGGTGAGACCAAATCTCTCCATGACTCTACAGTAAGATGGTTTCCCAAGGGTGCCCCCACCCCCTTATGCAGGACAGTAATTCCCTCTCTAAATACCAGTGCCCTCACTTGTAGTGTGTCTTTGAGCAAGTCACTTCACCTCTCTGAGCCTGAGATTTCTCAACTGTGAGATAGAGATGATGCTCACCCACAGGTTGTTTGTGGTAAGGATAAAATCAAGAATATGCATGTAATAGCCCTGAAAGTGCTCAGCACACAGCAGGTCCTCTGTAAATGGCCACTGGAACAAACCTTTCCCATGAAACCTTGCCAAACAACTCCAGTTCCTACAGGTCTTGCCTCTTCTGACAGTTGAAAAGGTCTGCACCACGTGTTTCCTGCCTCCTGCCATCACATGACTTTACGCACCTCACTTCCCCAGGGAGCCTTCAAGTGCCCCCCGTTCAGGTGGCAGCTCTTCTCTTCTCTGCTGTGTCCCTGCCCCACAGGCACCAGTGTGCAGTACTCTGGGTTGTGCTGGTTAACTACCTTTCCTTCTGAAACCTCAGTGTGCCTGGGGACAGAGAAAGAGCTACATCCTATGGTCAGGGAACAGGGCCCATTCTCTTCTGCCATGGACCCTGTCTCAAAGGGACCTGGGACTCCAGGATTTGCTCATGCCAAACAGTCTCCTGATACTTTGCCTAGGCATTTCCATTTTACTATAAGCAAGGGAAATTTTAATACTCTTTAATCTCTTAAATGTGATTTTCTTTCTCTTTATATCCTCTACCTCCCTCAGCCCCACTTTTTTCTTAATAATAGAACTCAGCAATACAACTTCGGTTTTGAAGTGAAAGTTAGAAAATGACTATTATCTCACCAGCAGAAATGGGCTGGCTGTCTGGTCCAGGGTCAGCAAATCTTTTCTATAAAGGCCCAGACAGTAAACATTTAGGCTCTGGCAGGCCACATGGTTTCTGTCATGCTACTCAGATCTGGCCGTGCGCATGAGGCAGCCTTGGACGATACGTAACGAACAGCATGGCTGTGTCCCCGGAAACCTGACTGACAAGAGTGAGCTGGATTTGACACACGGTCATAGTTCGCCTACCTCTGGTCTAGTCCAGCACTTCAGGGCGAAATTCTGTGCTTAGGATCATCTAAGACAAGCCTTCCCTCTCCTAACCAAAGTATGTGTGGGTACTCTAAAGAATCAAATTAAATCTGATGTCCTGAGTCACACTGACAATAAATAAAAAGGTGGATGATTGTCAATGAATTCCAGGCTGAGAAAAGAATACAAACACTGTAAACATTTATGTCTGAGCAAAGAAATGGACTTAAAAAAACACTCGGAAACAAAACCCCAGCTTGATGGCCTCCGCCCAGCACTTCCTACCTATGCCCCACATTTCCAGCTTTTCTGGGGTTAAGAGACACTGGCCTTTCCCAAGAGTCAGAGGCTCTTTGCTATCTATGAATCAACAGAAAGGTCCTCATGTGACCCTGTGACTCCTGAGGGGCACAACGCAGGGCTCCCAACTGAGGTTTTCTCTGGCATGTTCAATGGTGGGTGGATGACATTCTCTCCCCATCCCAGCACAGTGGTGGGCTTGTTCAGACTTGGCACGACTAGCCAAGAGCCCCAACCCATCTGGACAATAGGAACATTCAACAATTTATAAGTTTGAGGCTCGACTCATTTTTCTTTTACATAGCTACATTTTTTCCCCCATAAGAATAGTTAGCTATGACCTAAATCTTTCTATACCCTTATTGTTAAGGAGGTGGCACCAGAAAAGTCTAAATTTGTGCCCTGTTCAACAAAAAGGTTTGACATTGAGGACTGGCAATTAATTATGTAATTTGAGAAAAGTCGTCACAGTCCTTCCCCACAGCTCCATCTAATTTCAGATGACACCTATTCTTGTCCTGCTGATCGCTGGACCCAGTCCCTTCTAGCTTTTGTCCTCCCATTTCCATTTGTGACTACCTCCCAGTACATCTACAGCCCTGAACGCCATCTGTTTCTACATTTTTCTCCCTACCCTCTCAAATCTTACTGGTCCTGCGCCTACCGCCCTCCCGCACACACAAGCCCTGGGGCTGGCAGTGAGTTCCCATTGTTCATCAGTTCTCACTCTCTCTGGGTGCTTTGTTAAGTTAGGAGCGTCTTCACAGGGTGTCAAAGGCACTGGGGTTCCAATGTTTCTAACGGAACGGGCTGACACTTCTGGATAAAATGAAGAAAGGAGCTGGCAAACATGGATGCCACGGATTTCACTCTTTGGAAAATGTCTAAAACATGATCAACTTTTGACCTAAACCAGTTGATACTGTTCCTATAAGCCACAATTTCTCTGGCAGATTGAAAGCTGGAAGTTTAAAGAAAAGATAAAAGGGTAAGGGGTAAATTTCTGAGTACTAAATGAACAATTCTCTGATTGGCTCTGACTCTGGGTAACAGGCCTTTCATACTAACAAAGCTTAGATAGAGCGAAAGGTCAGAAAGCTTTGGCAGCCAAATCTATTTTTCCAGTGACACATGCTGATAGAATCAGGCTATAAGCAATGATAGAACCATTATCTGGAGAAAAATCACATCCCCGGGGCACTCAGGCCATTACAAGATTGAGGAATTTAACAACAGTGGTTAGAACTCGAGAGAAGCCAGATTTCAGGCAGGGTTTTACTTGCAGAAGAAGGCAGCTTGGAGCACGCAGTGCGCTGAATGTCAGAGCCCTTCTAGGGGAAGTGAGAGCCTCAGCTCCCTTTAAGAACAAACATTTGGGCTGAAGGATGATAAATGAAAAAGCACCTGTTTATTAATACAGCAAGCATCATCTCTTCTGTGGAACAAACCTTAATCTAATCTAAGATGTCGGTCCAAATCCTTCTGGCTAAATTGGAAAAGGCTCAACTGAAAAAAAAATAATATGCCTTTTGTTCTGGTCTTGACCACTGAAATTTTCCTGCCATTAGTGAACAGTCTGTTGACTGAAGGAACAGACAATATTTAGGCTTCTGACCTCTGATAGGAAATCCTGAGTGAACTGCTAACTTGAAGATCTGTGTTATTTCTTGCTACAGTTGTATCCAAAACCAAAAAAAAGGTCTTTTTTTTTTTTAGAATCCAACAGGGACCAAGAATTTCAGATGTGTAACAAAGAAAATATATCAAAGAACAAATATGAAACTATAAAAGATGTTTATCCATAGTTATAAACTTAAAACATAGAGATGAAAACAGAAATAGGAAAAAAGAAGGAATAGGAAAACAGAAAAGAAAGAATCTATTAAAATCTTTTCTGTAAATGCTTTTACTTTAAGATCTGAAAAGTAATCTGGCAGGTCATAAAAAAAATTGCAACAGCAGAAAAATTAAGCAATCTTTATGATTCATATGATTTTACAAGTTTTTGTTCTTAAGAAAATGTCAGGTTTCCCCTTCTGGACCTATTTGATTATAAGCCTAAGTGGGGCTCTGGGTTTTATTTTCATTAACAAACCTGGAGCTCGTGTCATCTATTTGCCGTGTTGTTCACAGAGGCGCTATGACAACACACTGCAGTTCCCACTCGTGGGGACATTACACGAAGTACAAAAGCTGAGGGTTCTGTCAGCACCAGAGTCTGCTTGACTCACTGGAATCAAATGATCTTATTCAAACAACCATTCAGCTCTTCATGTACTGACGAGGAAGCTGGCCACAAAATACTGTTCACAGGGGGGATAAAAATCAATTTAACTGAAATACCTGATTCATATAAGCTCATTTGGGTTAAAAGCATTTCAAAAAGCAACTTTGTGTGTATCTGTGGTGTGTGTGTCTTTCTGCACAGAAATAAACAAACATTATCCCTGGAGAATGGAGCTGCAGACATGAGCAGGTCCACTCTTTACTACCCACACTTCTATAGGGCTGGACTGTTAGATTTTTAAATTTTTTTTTAAACAATGAGCAGCATGAATTTCCTTTGTAATTAGACAGTTTTTTATAGACAAATTAATTTGTGATGCACTTTAGAATTTACAAAATGACCTTGCAGACATCTGATCAAGTACCACCCCGAGATTGCCCGTGGCCTCACCTCGGCACTCCATGTTGGGGTCTCCCCAGAAGAGCTCCTGGCACTCGCTGCAGGTGCGGCCTCCAAACCCAGGCATGCACTGGCACTGCCCTGTGAACTGCGGCCAGAAAAAAGACCTTGGTCAAGAGCGGCTGAGGGGCAGAAGCCAGCCTGCACTTGCTTTTTCAGCGGCCAGTTAGGAAAAGTGGGACTCAGCTGTTTGCCTGAGAAGGCCTCCACATCCTGGACGAGAAAAGGGATTTTTGCTTCTATCCTGGGTGCTGAGGGCCCCGTGCCAGCATCTCCTAACTGCTTTACTGCAACAGAGGTTGGAAAGGCCCAGAGTACATTACCATTTATTTACGTGTTTCTTCACAAATCAACTACAAGCCGAGGCCACCTGGGACTCCCTTGCCGTGGGGAGCCCTTCATTCTGAGTATGCATCAGGAAGCGAGCACTGTTTACGATGCTGCACATGGCTGTTTGTTCCTTTCAGTATGCGTGGCTGAGAAAACAGCCTGACTCAGCAGCCCGGGATTGAAGAGAAACAGCGCACCCCTTCCATTCTAATCTGAGTCTACAGCTGGGGCCTTATATTAGAATGCTATGGGTGCATCAGATGGGACCTCCCAAGACGGTCATGTAGTCCCAGCCAAGGTGGATAAGTGAAAGCTGACATCCAGTCTGTGCTGTGCCCTGTGGCAGGGCTGCAACGGGGTGCCTTTCTCTAACTGGGAAAAGAGCTGTCTCTGAGCTCATAAAGGCCCCTTTCCTTATGCCATGACGGCCACACCCCAGTTGGAGCACCTCACCTCATTACAAGATGGCCCGAAGGAATGAGCAGTGTCACAGCTGCACGGGTCACACCCAGTCCCACTGGCCAGGTGCCAGGCATTAGGCGCACAGCGGTCACAGTTCTGTCCGACCACATTAGGGAGACACAGGCACTGGCCAGTGGCTTTGTCACACTGGCAGTCAGAGCCATTACAGTGCTCCTGCACGGTGCCCAGGTAATTGCAGACACACTCTGAAAAAGACCACAGATTTACGTATATTGTCACATTTATAAAATACACAGGCAGTGTGCAAAGATGAGTGCCATCCCAACAGCTAGGATGCCTCTCTCCAGATTTCAACCTGGAAATGCAAACAAGCCGCGGAAGGAATGGAGGTGATAAAATCTATGACTGTTGTTCTTCGGAAGCTCTGATGATGTTCTACATAGTTCTGACATTTCCCAGGCAGATGTGCCTAGCAGTATTTTCAAAATATGCAGGTGTGATAATCTGCTGGGTATTCATTTTAAAATTCAGGATTTAGGGCTGGCCAAGTGGCGCATTGGTTAAGAGTCAGCTTGGGATGCCAGCTCTGAGCAGCAGGGCCCCGGTTCGGATCCCATATGAGGGCCAGTGATGCTGCGCCCTCTACAGCTAAGATGGTGAACAACAGTTCAATCTGGAGCTGGGCTGCCGTGAGTGGCCGGCAAGCGACTGCCTCACCCAGGAAGAGCCAATGATAATACCAATATGGGCCAGTGAAGCGACGTCCTCCACAATTAGACTGAAGAACAAAAGGACAGCAACTTGTCTGTTCCCCTTCCCCGATTCCCCAACGCTGTTCCCCTCCCCCAATTCCCCAATAAAATCTTCAATAAATAAATAAAATTGAGGATTTAACTGGAAATAATACAGAGTAGGTCATTGGAGTTGAGATATTTAATGATTTCAAGCTCTTGGCAGGGAGCAGCAGTAATGGATGTATCAGACATAGCAGGTAGAAGTCCTTTAAGCTACTAAGGCTTGAAGGAATCCAGTCCTGCTGGTCCTCAACATTCCACACGTGTTTGTATCAATAGAGGTGGGGTCTGGGGGCTGGCTGGGCAGCAGCAGCAGGAGGAAATGCTGGCTGATTTCTCAATAAGAGAGAAATACGGAATCTGAAGGAGACTCTAGAGATGTCACTTCTTACTTTTCCTTAAACTGGAAGGCTCTATCCATCAATGACAGAGAAAAGGTGTGGACCAGAGTATCTAGGATCAACGGGTCCTAGCCAATCAGTTCCTGGGCAGAACATAAAATCACACTTTATTGGATGGCATTTATCATGGTGACAGCTACATAGTTTTCCCTTTTGGTTGTCTCTCTCAGGCACTGAGTCACATCTTGAGACTTCAGTCCTTCTAAAAAATGAGGATGTGAAGAAAAAAAAAAAAAAGATCAGTGTTATCTTCCTTTTGCTGAAAGTGAAATTTTACCTCTCTGAACAAGTGTATTCCCAAAGGAAACAAATCCCAGAAAAATGAAATGCCCCAACGCAGAAGAAAGTGGAAACCATTCTAAAGAGTGGGCAACATGAACGTGCGTCTTACTCCGACAGTCCTGCTGGAGGGCATCCCCGTAGTACCCGAATCGGCACAGCTGGCAGTGCTCCCCTTCCGTGTGGTACAGGCACTTGAGGCACCTCCCCGTCTCCTTGTCACAGGCTTCTGGGTCTGTTGTGTCAATGTTGTGGTGACAATGGCAAGGCTGACACGTCCCCCCAACGTCCGAGGGATTGCCAAAGAAGCCTGCGGCACAGCTGTCGCATCTGGAACCTATTGTCCAATAAAACCAAGCACAACACCTTTAGCTCGCTGACAGAAAGGTCGAGTCCATCCACGTTCCTGCCGAGAGAGCCAACCCAGGCTGGCTGTGCTCCTCACAGCACCCGTGACTGAGCCTGGGTGACCACATCACCAGGGGAGAGAAAACGGCTTCTAGTTCAAGGGGAAAGAAGTCTTCTGCCCCCGTAACACTGCCTCAGCCCGGCTCAGAGGCTAAGTGGGACACAGGCGGCTGTAAGAGTTCCAGCACAGGGACTTCAGCTTATCACACAGGGACGCAGCAGATTAGAGGCTCAGTAACCATCTAGCAGCATAAAGCTTAGCTTGGTGTTATGTCCTAATCCAAGAGTTATATTAACTGAAAAATCACTGCTCCTGCATGAAAAATAGGGTCCTTCATGATGACCAACTTCCCTGTCTAAGAAATCCTGAAACTACAGGCAAATGTTTACTGAGCTATGGATAAGCATAACTAGTACTTGAAAGGGTGGCATCAAGGATGAACTAAAAGGGAGTTTATTTTCACACCTCACTATACTCCTTGAGTGCTGACAGATAACAAACAATGAAGAATGTACTAGCATTGACTGATTCAGTTACCTGGGGACCCCCAAGATGGCATTCTTTTCTGCCCACTGTTGGGCCACGTCACTACTTTAAGGCTCTTTAGCTAGGAGTTGGACAAAGGAAAGAAGTCAAATGTACATTAACCTTTCTGCTGCCTAATAACAGAAGTGTTCACAGGGATTCATTTATGGATTTAAATGAGCTTGCTCTCATGTTCTGTATTGTCACATTATCAAAGAGACTCAAGAATTACTCTATCCCAAACAGGAAAAGAGCATCTTTCTAGGTTCCCTTCACTTTCAATTAAGGATTATAAAAATGAAACTGAACTGGCTCACTCTTCACGTCTATTTTCATTAACTAACTTATGAAGATGCCTCTTTTCCTTCCAGAGTCTCCACGTGACTTACCGATGTACCCAGGGTTACAGACACACGCGAGCTGGGAGGTAACAGGATCTTGATAGCAGCTACTGGCAAACTGGCGTCCGCTGTCGGGACCATCTGGGCAAGGACAAGGGCGGCAGTGATCTCCTGACCCAATGATGGGATCACCATAGTAACCAGCCAGGCACCTACAGCAGTCACAGAAGAGAGAGGACCGTGACCTAGAGTTGTGAGAAGCCTGTCACAAAAAAAAGCTGTAGGAACTGTGTTCTCTGTTTGGGAATTCTCACTCCCCATTCCTCATGGGTCTACATGGAGGACTTTCCATTGGAGCAGTGGTTCTCAAACATTAGCTCCAGTCAGAACCCCCTGAAAGGGCTTGTTACAACACAGATTACTGGGCTTCTCCTGTTTTTGACTTAGGTCCTGGGTAATGCTGAGGCTGCTGGTCTGGGAACCACACTTGCAGGGCCACTGCATTAGGGTGACACCCCTGGCCTCACTGGGACCCTCCCTCACTCTCCCCATGTGAACCTTACTGTCCTATCAGCTGCCCGTCTTCCCAGAGCATTCTCGCCAGCTCCCTCCTTGCATTAAGGAGTCGGGGGTGGGGGGGTGAAGCTTGTGGTTATTCGTCTCTGCCTCTGCCTGGAGGGTGACGGGTTAGCAAGCCCATGGTGGCACGATGCAATCCAGCCTTTACCAGCACCAGAGATGGTAAGGAAGCTTTCCAGCTGCATGGCTCTTGTGACTGCCCCTTGTGGTTTCAAACTTGGGCAAGGAAACTTGAGGGATGTTATTTTTCAACTCCCAAACCCAGCAGGTCCAATCTCCTCTCCTCACAGATAAGGAACTCCAGGAGGTTAAGTGATTTGCAAGGTTTACACCACGTGTTAATAATGAGCCAGGATTTGAATCCAGCCTCCGACTCTTAGCAAGGAATTATTTGACTGTCGTGCAAAATGAATGGTACTTAAGTGACTTTTTTTACTTCCTAGAACATAAGAGTTTAAAGGAATTTGAAGACCATCTAATCCAACTAATTATTCTACTAACAGAAAGTTGCATACTTGGAGAGTGAGCTAACTCACTCAAGGTAATAAAGTGGGTTAGAAGCAGAACTGGGCCTGGAACCCAGGTCTGAGGATTTCCAATTCAGTTTGTTTTTCTTTTTTCTTTCTTTTCTTTTGAGGCAGAGGTAATATTTTTTTAAATTGGGGGAGAGGATCAAGAAATAGAAGGGGAAAATTCTTCACAGGAAGTTATCCTTCTATTTAAATAGAACGGACATAATACAAGAACATGTCCCCCAATTATGTGCTGGGGGAATTGGCGGTGATGAAGCAATTTTGTACAATGGTTTCTGAGAAAGTTTTCTAGGTGTAATAAATTCAAATACATCATGATAGAAATTGAGTGTTCATTTCCTGCCTCCCTGTCCGTTTCCCGCTTCAGGAACAATCTGAACCTAGAGCTTCTTTTTAAATTCATGGGAATGACACTAATTATCTTGGAAATAGGAAAAGAATGATGAGAAATCGGCTCAAACCAGATAGCAGAATCAAACTAGGGCTAAATATCTTTCCTCCTCCAACACCCTCTCACATTCTCCTGCAAGAAATCAAAATGCTTTGTAAGTAAAATCCAAGAACAGTCACAAATATCAACCAAGCCATTCTCACAGGATGTTCTTGTGAATACACTGCAGAGTGTGCTGATTTCAAATTGGCATGTGGACAACCACCCTTGTTTTCTGCGTTCCCCACCCCCCTCTTGTCGCCTTTCTACTCTGGTTTTCTCATCTGTCTCATTTTCTCAAACTTATTTTCCATCTCCCATTGAAAGAACAATGGAAAACTTAATGCAGCAAACGAAAGATGACAGTAATACACAAGACTGAAAGGAAGACATTAGTATAACTGTTTCCTTGTTATCCTTTTACTACAATGTTTTGTGGTTGGAAGGAATAATTTTTACTCGAGGGAGTAATCACTGGACCCTCCAAATCCTTGAGCACCCTCTAGTATAGAGCCAAGACCCACATATTTACTTTCATGTATATATATCGCCATGCCGTAAGTTAATCACATATTCAGTTTCCACTAACAGTTTCTTTCATCTGATCAGCAACTTTTGTACTGACTGAAGCACTTGCTCAGATTTTTAAAACAAAAATTCTATACAGGGCGGATGGATATTAAAAGAGAGAAAATTTATTGACATGTCTATTTATTGAGCAGTCTAAGTCAGCACGCCATTTTCTCATGTGGACTGTTTATCTACTGAGTGGGACTGTAATGTCATTAGAAGCACATTCTATGTCCTATTCTTACTATTATCTAGTGCAGTGCCTTGCGTCCACAATAATTATCCAATTCACATTTGCTAACTGGAAAACAGATCTACTTTTGCACATTTTATGTGGTCTCCTGGAAACTCTAGCTGCATAAAATGTTTAGAAAAACAAAGCTATTGAAAATGACTAATCCTGTTTGGATTGGGTTTCTAGTTTGCCCGAAATTAGGCATTAACATTTCACAGCTCTTATCCTAGGCCAGAATCTGCTGAGACAGAGATAATTTTTGTACAGCTCTACGGTGACCTCTAGGGTGACTCTCCAAGAGGGCCAATTCATGTCGGGTTTGGTCTCTGCCATATTTCCAGCCCTAGAACAATGCCTGGCACACAGAAGGTGTAAACATGTATTGGATAAATGAATGAGTTGCTAGAAAATACTGAGGTGGTCAGAAATGAATGAGCCATCTGGAGGCTGATAGAGGTTCATTCTGTGGTTTCTCTAAGACACTGTTTGTTCAGCCAAAAGTGATCTCGTTCTCTTTACTTTCGAGAGGCCGCGTCCACGTACCTTTCACAGTTATGACCCGTGGTGTAGTCCTGGCAGCTCAAGCATTCTCCTGTTACTGAGTCACAGTCATCGGCGTGGCCATTGCACTGGCAGGGCTGGCAACTCGGAAATCCCCAATACCCAGGTAAGCACCGGTCGCACTGCCGAGTGTACACCCCCTGAAAACAGTGGCACTGGCCAGTGATGGGGTCACAGAAAGCATTGACAGATCCTTGCAGATGGCAATCACAAGCTGAAGAGAGACAGGCAACCACACAGAGAAACTCATTAAATGCAAATACACCCCTCATATAAACACCCTTGGGCCCAGCTCAGAATACTCATGGGCTCATGTGATCAGCTTCCAGAGTGAAGCACTGCCTCCTGAGGCTGTGAAGCCCACACCAATATTCCTCAGATAATCATTACAATTCTGGTTAACCTACGTTTGCATCCACTGGGGCCAAAGCCAAAGGTGCCGGGAGCACATCTGTTGCAGGTTCTTCCAACCACGTTGGGCCGGCACTCGCACTGGCCTCCGTTGGGGTCGCAGACGGAACTTAATGAGCCCTGAGGGTCACACTCACAAGCTGAAGGGGAAACAAGCCAGAACCTGTGACACAGAGCAGCTGCTCCCCCCCCAAAAATGAGCGCAATGCATCACACCTGACTCTGAACTGGCCTGTCCCTTCCCTTGGGTTCTTCCTGGTCCTTTACTACCTGGGCATATGCAGAATTCCCATTTAAAACCATCTCATCCCTGTGATGAGCAGGAGGGGAGCAAGGAGACAGAACTGGCAGATACAAGCAGTTTTCTAGGAAGAAGGTCATTAAGGTTTTCTCCTCTTGCCTTCAAAGCTCAAATATCACAGGACCTTAGACAAAAGCCCAGCGACCTCTGGGGACTGCTCTGACCTTTCAAAGAGAAAAACAAACTTCAGTTATTCCAACTGCCCACCCGCCTATGGAAGTGCTACATCCTCATGGACTTTTCCCCTTGTCACCTGGTGTATTTCTTGACTATTGATTGCATTTGCAATAGTGCTCTATCACTAAAATATCCTTTAAAAAAAAATAAAGACCAACTGTAGTTGAGACACTATTTCCTTTGTGCTAACTGCCTCATACAGAGCTATAGGGCCTGTCTTCTGACATACCTCATGACGCCAAGTGTCCTCTTGGCTCTCGAGAAAGAAGGGGCAGAAGCAGCTGCAGAAATACCTACCCAAGCCTGTCTGGTGTAACAGGGAAGAAATGCTAAAGATTATGTTTCTGCAAACGTCAGTCATCGGCGTTTTCACAACACTTCTGCTGTTCTCCAGACATCGATATCTCTGAAAGGTTTCCCAGGCACTGTTGGTGACCGGCCCATCTCCTGAACCTCCCACGGTGAAGATGTCCAGTGATTTGCAGAACGGCATGAGAACAAGCTGCGAAGAAATGAGAACAGCTAAGTGCTCTTAGGGTGGCATCCCATGTCATCAGTTAGAGCAAGTAAACACGTAAAACCCCAAATGCTTCCTTGACTCTTGAAAAAAACAACAACTAGACTCATTCAATAAACCTGCCCATTCTTACAATATTCTTGCCAGAAAAAGTTTAGATAGGCCTTACATGGTTTGATGGTTTTTTGAAATGTTCTTTTTAAGATACTTCATATTTTCAGAAAGAATCAGCTTGAGTAAATTCTTTTTAGAGGGTAGAGTTTTGTTAAAATAAATAAGCAAAGCAGCCTTGGAGGAAAAAAAAAATAAGAAGAAAGAAAGAAAAAAAAGAAAGAAAGAAAGAAAAAAAGGTTCTGCCAAGCCTCTCAGCATCACCCCTCCACAAAACCCTCTGCGGAAGCACAGGAACAACTTCTGCCCAGCCCTCCCTATATGTATCAGAAATGACCTTGCACTTACGGAATCAATAAGCGTGTATGGACTCTCCACACTGCTGTCGGAGGTGGTGTACTGGGGCAGCTCTAACCTGACTGTGTAGTTCACACCCTTCTCAAAGCACACGGGGCGTGGAAGGACCACGTACCTGCCCCACAACAAAAGAGAACAACAACAAAAGTCATCCTTTAAGTATCCAATTAATCAAAGCTCTACGCAGCTCATTTTGAAGGAAGAAAGTCAATAGTCAGTGTTAGGCTCTGGCTCTGAAATGGTAACTGTACAACTCACAAGGCAAGATAAGAGAAAAAAGTAATTTGCTATTAGTTCTACTGAGCTGCAAACCACTGTCACACTGACCTTGAGCCAGGCGATAAGGACACCACCTGGTTGTCATCATCAGGAACTGTGTTACCACATCGGCTGCTGGTTGGAATTTTCCCAGGTCGCTGCACCGTGATAACAGCTTTTTCCCAGTGGTCGGGTAGCTGGAATAAAAAACAACAATCAAAAGGACCATCCACACTGGCCCACTGCTGCCTGTCTGTTTATAAAGACCTTTCCCAATCGATCATCTGCCAAGTTTAAATGGAAAAGCTTGCATTTCCCTTCCCTCTTAACCATTTCCTCTGCTACTGCCCCAGTTCTAGCCCTAATCCCTGAAATTGCCTCCCAACTGCTCTCCCCGCCTCTCCCTACATCCCTTTCTATCCACCTTAAAACCCAGCTCAGATAATGACACCCCCCTGCTCAAAACCCTCCAATAGCTTCCTCTTAATATAGAGCCCAAGTTTATTTACTGATCCTGGCATTTTTCCGAACAGCATGTCCAACCGTATCCCTTTACCTATCTATGTGGAGCGACTCTCAAAAGACTCTTCTCTTCCCTGCTCATGCTATTCCTGACTTCCTCTTGGGTCAAAATTTCATCTATGTTTAAGGCTGACATCTGATTCTTTGAAATATTCTGGCAGCCCCTGGCCTGGCCTGGCCCGGCCCAGCCCAGCTGGTATGAAACCTTTCATCTTCCATCACTGTTTATATCTCTGATCATACACTTTCCACCTTTGGTGTCTTACACCTACAGTTAGGGGCACGTGTCTGTTCCTGGGCAGTATAGGCGTGAGGGCAAGGAGAGATATGATACTTTCTCATCACCACCTCACGTCTCAGCAAGGCTAAGTGCCTAGCAAGAGATCGAGAATGTTAGTGAAACTGAATTCAAGAAAAACGCACTTTTTTCACTTCCAGGTAGGCTACGAAGTCAGAGAGAGTTTCCCCTATTCCAATGCAATTTCCAAATTTCACAAAAACATAGCGTCCATTAGAAGCAAGTTTTTCTACCAATATCCTCCCCAACCAGAATAGTTCACTGAGGGTTTACCTGTGGCTCATAGCGAATTAGGATGTCGTATTCCATGGAATATGGTATGTTGTCAATGAAAAACTCCAAATAAGCCCCTTCGGGTACTCGGACGAAGCCTGCTCCAGTCCAGGAAGGAATCCGGTCCTGCACATACAGCCGCTCCACTACGCTGACCCCCTGAGGACAAGGAGACAAGTCCTCACGCTTACTTGAAATGCAATTCCATTAAATGGAACAGTCAAAGAAATCTTAAGTTACCCAGAGGTCCAAAACTATAGATATTTCCCCTATTTTTTACAGTCATATTTTCCCAGCAGACTGTAAAAAGTTTGGATATATAAACAACAAATTGGTTTCTTTTTGGTTTTGGTTGAGGTAGTCTTGGGACATGGGTGACGGGACTCAAAGGCCTTGGGCAGACTTTCTATGATGTCACCATGGGAATGGGCATAAAGGAAGGAAAGAGAACATCGCGACTGTTCTCCTAGGCTGTTGTAGTGAGCCTAGGAGTGACGAGGTATGTCCCAGATTTTCTACAAGGTCAGTCCAATATCTAGCAGATTTATTTCTGTCTTTCTCATTGGCATTTATTTCAAGCTCCAACTACAAGTGGGGAAACTTGATACAGTAGTGAATGTTCACTAGTGATGAGCTCATTCTCACTGTCACTGAGAATGAGCACTGATCAATTTGCATTGCTTAATTCCAGCATGCATTTGAGTTTGTTCACAGGGTTATATATGATACCTGTGATTAATCACCTCCAAAGATGAAGTTCTTCCTTCCCCTATGGACGTGTGTCCGGCTTTAGAGGTGGTACCTATGTTACCCCACCCTCGAATCTGGTCTGGCCTGTGACTTGTGACTAAAAAAATGGAAGAAAATGACATTCGGGGACTTCTGAGCCCAGGATTTAAGAGACTGGGCAGTTTTTGTTTCCTCCTTCTTGGAAGCCAGACACCATGGAAGTCTCACTATGCCGACCCCACCATACTATGTGGAAGCTCAGGACAGCTGCATGGAGAGAGGTCATATGGAGAAAAACACCCAGCCGGCACCAGCTGCTTCAGCCATCCAAGCTGAAGTGCCAGAGACACACTGCAAGCCACTAAATTTTGGGATGCTTGTCACACAGCATTGGAAAATGAAACCATATTTTGAGTACTCTGCTAGATCAATAACTGCAGCAGAAGTAGAGAGAATGGAAGAAAAAAACCCCAAAAACCCAACCTTGCTCCCAAACACCAAAAGCCTTATTATTAGTGCATGCTCCAAAGTTTCTTTGGGACTTACAAATTTACTTAGCTTTAAATATAACTGTTCTCAAGAAGGCATGGTCCAGATCCTTCCTTTGGGTTCACTAACAACATGCTTCTTAGACGGTCTGTTCACAAAATGTGTATATGCCATTTACTGCCGCCACACACTGCTTTACCAATCTGCCAAGCAGCCCCCTACTTACGGGCCCAAAGTTGGCTTCTTCTGCTTCGTAGATGTAGTGATCCAAGGTGGTAAAGTAGTAACCAGATTCCATTTCATTGCACTGGCGTCCAATCATGTGGGGTCGACAGGAGCACTGGCCGGAAGTGGGGGAACAGCTGGAAGGAACCACAGCAGGTCAGCTGTGCTCACCTCTTACTAAGGAGCCGCAGCCGGTCAGCTGTGCTCAACGCTTACTAAGGAACCGCTGGGGCCAGTTGTGCATTTACCATTAAACATTAAATGGTGTGAAATATTCAGGTGGGGTTTTCATATTTCCTTCAGAAAATAAGTATATGGAAAAAACACTGCCTATGAATGAATCCCAAACTGGGAGGCTGAAAGGTCTGCATGAGCTGGTGCTTCACTGTCATGTCCCTTGCCCCCTTCACTATGCTCCATCCACACCAGGGTGGGTTTTTCTGTAGATACCACGTGTTCTTGCTTGATGGCCTGTCATTTTTGCCTTATTTCCAACTGCAGCTCCTTTCCTGGGCCTCAGACCAGAAGGACAGTTCCAGCTTCTCTGTCCCAGAGGCTAAAAATAGATCCAAGAGGCAGCACTCCATCCCTCCCACTTCTCTGCTGGGGAGAAGACACCGCTACCCACTGAGTCAACCAAGTGAGAAACCTGGCAGTTAGTTATTCTCTGGATTTCTTCATATTCAACCAGGAACCAACGCCTGTGATTTCACCTCCCAGCATCTGTGTGTCTCTCCTCCCTTCCCATGGGTTAGACCACGCCCTTCTTCCTTCTCTCACAGTAAAAACAGTTAGTCTTCTAATCAGTATCCTTGTTGCCACTCTTCCAACTTCCCATGCTCCACCACGATCCACAGAGCTGCCCAGGTGAACTTTTCTAAGGTGAATTAACCGTGTCACTTCCAAGCACAGTGGCCTTGGGGAGGTGCAACAGGACTTCACAATCATCCTTCCCTTCCTCCTCCGCTTCATCTCGCCCCCCCCCTCACCAACCACACTGAACTACTGACAATTTCTCAGATGTGCTGGGTGAGATTCATGACCCCTCGTTTTGCCCGTGTTGTGCTTACAGCCTGGAATGCCCTTCCACTGGCTGACCCAGCAAAAGTCCACCCTTCCTTCTTTCCAAATTCAGCTCACATGTATGACTCATGCGGTGGCACTTCCTCACCATCACCCCCTACTCCATAGAATGACCCACCTTCTCTTTCATGCCACCACCTCCTTGCACAAAAAATGATGTATTCACAACATCCACAACAAAGCTTGTCACACAGTAGGTGTTTGTTACAGGTGAGGCCGTGTATCAGCAAATCCTACTTTTTTTTCAAAGCCCGGCTCAACTTTTATCTCTTTCACGGTTTTATTTGGTTCTGTCCCTCTACCAGTTTCAAGTGGTGCTTCCTGGGACTTCAGTTGTTCCTTATCTGTACTGTTGAGATAGTTATTGCTTTCTCTCATAGTATAATTATTGACAGACCTATCCAACCCCTTACTCAACTGTAAATGCCCTGAGGACCTGGACTGTGCAGTCTTCACCTTGGTCAGCCCCCGGTAGGGTCTGGCCAGTACTATGCACACGTAGTGTACTCAAACACTGGGCAAACAAATAAATGCGTTAAGGATAGGAGTTCTGAATTTAAAAAACAGAGAAAAAGAAAAATAGGCAATTTAATATAAATAATGAAACTTTTTAGAATTAGTTATTACTCTTTTTGGTAATAAAGTTCTCTGGATAAACTGTAATGTATTCATTTTGTTCTCAACCTATGTCTGTCTTTTTCCTTAGCATCATGATTTTGCGTACAAGGTAAAACCAAATTACATACATCCATTTTTACTTCATTCAAGTCAAGTAGTTTGAAATTGTTACTTTAAACCTTCCCAGACTTCTTTTATTTTTTTTCTCTCATCCCAAAGTTCATTTTAAACCAAGTACCTAAGGCAAGTCCAGTTGAAGTACTTTTCCATATATCATGTAAAATCATTTTTATCCTACAGAAATATGAACACTCAACATCCTGTAGCCAATTCCCAGAGGAGGAAAGCTTGTTCCAATTAGGACCCAGGCCTCTTTTGGCACAGTCCACCAACCAAAGCCATCTGCAAAAAGCCAGGCATCAGACATTATACCATAAGGACCAAAATAAATAAATAAATAAATAAAATCCTTTCCTCCCCAGATGTTTACTGTGGCAACAAATGTCTAAAACACAAACCACCGAAGAAGAAAACAACTGGATTCTTCACATGTCATCACTAGAGAATTAGCAAATAAAGCTGAGGATGAGTGTGGGCAGACTCCTGGGAAGGCCTTTTACCTGTGGCCCAGTTCTAAAGATACTCAGGAGAACCTGATCAGGTAAAAGGAATTCCCTAACCTTAGCCTTGGCAATCACTCCTCTGTGTCGAGTTGAATTGCTGTCAGTGCCAGGCATGGCTCCAATTCTGTACCTCCTCCTTTAGTGAAATCCTTCTTGTGGCTTACCCGGCCCTGTGCAGGTGACCCTCACTCTACAGCCCTTAGCTCTCACTCGGCTGTGCTCTGGGTGTACACTGCCAGCCATGAATGGGACATTTCCATGGTTTGCCAAACTGTCAGCTCGAATTTATTTTGCCCCAAACTGCTCATCGACTCACAATGACTTCTTATCTTCAGCTATTTCTGTCAGGAGATTCAAAATTCTTCTGATGTTGTAGGCGAGACACAACCTTCCATTTCCATCTTATTTCAAGATGATTCTCAACTTAGCAGTTTCTGCTAATTGTCATCACCACTGCCCTAAACCAGTATGTCATCATTCCATACCTGTTCCTCTAGCAACCTCCCAAACTAGCCTCTCAAGCTCTTCTCTGCCCCCTGCCCAGCACATCTTGTCCACACTGCCAAACCAATCTTCCCATAGCATTGCTTTCATCACTTCACAAAAAACCACGATTGTTCCTTCTTATCATATCAAGTCATGATGCCTCCGCCTGGTCTCCAGCAGCCTCTATAACGCATCCTCTAAAAACAACTGCTCCTTCTTGTGGTGACTGCCCTTTGCTTTCAGAAGAGCCACACGCCTCGTACTCTTCCACAAATATTTACTGAGCAAATATTGGCCCTAGAATCTGTGCTTCCTGGTGTCAACACTCTTACATTTTAGTCCACTGTCAACTGTCTTCTGGATCAATCCTTACTCTCTTGATAAAGTCCATTATTTCTGGCTAAATGATAAAGAGGAAGAAAAATGGGGGACAAAATAGTCCCTGTCCTAAAGAACTTATAATCTAATTGGGGAGATAAACAATAAAGCAATTGACCAATACAACAAATCAAAATGTTGTAAGTACCTATACAGAAATACAAGCAAAATACTATGGATTTAGTGAAAAACATTGTTCATCTGGTTAAGGGCAGCATCATGAAAGAGGTGGCTCTGAAGGTTGCAGGGGATTTTTTTTTTTTTTTTTTCAGAGGATCTTGACAGGCAGAGGACAGGAATGACATGAACAAGGAGGAGTAATGCAGGAATGTGAGCAGAGATGGCCAAGATCAAACCAGGTCTTGACCTTGACACACTCATTCTCTATGCCTTCACCAGTCTCAGCTAGAAGGCCCACCTGCCCACCTGTCACATCTCTCAAATATCACTCATCTTTCAAAAGCCAAGCTCAAATCCCACCTCCTCCATAATGAGATAAAAACGTTATTACATGTAATTATTTTTCCTGTGTTCAAGTAAAAATCACATTGGATAGAAATGGTACAATTCTAAGTTTATATCTTCCCTCCCACAAATTTCCCTGTAACTAGATACAGATTCAATTCACTGGATCAGTAAGGAGATGCAAAAACAAATAAGATGCAACGATTTAAGGCAAAATAAATCAGGCCCTGTGGCAGGCAGAACAACAGCCCCCAAAGATGTCCATGGTCTCACCCCCAGAATCTGGGGATAGGTGACCTCACATAGCACAGGGAACTTTGCTGATGTGATTAAAGTTAAGGAACTTGAGATGGGCGATTATCCTGGATTACCCAGAGGGGCCCCATCTAATCCCATTAGTTCTTAAAAGTGGAAGAGGAAAGCAGAAAAGTGGGTCAAAAATGTGACATGAGGAAAATCTGACGCACAGTTACTGGCTTGCAAGACGAAAGGAGGCCATGAGTCAAGGGATGTGGGCAGCCAGCAGACACTGGGAATGCTGTGCTGGGAGCCAGCAGGAAACCAGGAACCTCCTTTTACAACCGAAAGGAGCTGGTTTCTGCCAATCACTCAAATCAGCAGGAAACAGATTCTCCACGAGAGCCTTACGATAGAAACAGGGCCTACCGGCATCTTGATTTAGTCCAGGGAGACTGTGTCTGACATACAGAACTGTAACATAATACATTTATTTGTTTTAGGCCTTTAAGTTGTGGTAATTTACTATGGCAGCAATAGAAAACTAATACAAACCCTATTTTTTCTTAATGGGTGAAGGCCAAGATTATTACTTAAAAACACAGATTTCTCATAAGAATAGAAATTAACAATTTGTTTAAATACTCTATTGGAAGGAAAATTCTTTCATTTAAATAGTGATGAGCCGAGTAAATACTGTACAGTCTCAACTTTTCTTTATTACTAAGAAATCAGGGGCGAAATAAAGGATAAATAGCATCATTCATAAGAATCACCACTCTGTTCAACACTGATTTCTCCTCCAAAATTCTGATTACAAAGATTTGGTTCTACATTGATTAGCAGTCAGCACTATCCTTTTTATCCTGAGTAGTACCTCCCTTTAGACTAGGATGCTTTCTTAAGGGGTAGAAGCTGTGCTCTCTAATCCTTTTATGTCCAGTTACCATATAATTAATAGAGGATTTGATATCATCATCATTAACTATACTGATGAATATATATATTAACTTCTGCTCTTTTTTCAAAGTATAATAAATTGCAGGTGCTCATTTACTGAGTACCTGCATGGTGTGCTGTGCTGGGTATGAAGGGAGATGCAAAAACAAATAAGATGCAATCCCTGTCCAGAGACCTTTGAAATACAAACACCTATAATACAAAGCTGAATAAAATAAGTGCTAAAAGAGATGCAGAAGCAATGTGTTGCCAAAACATCAAGGGAGGGCTAGGGACTTCAGTCCAGGAAGTTAGAAGCCTTCAAAAAAGTGGTGGGCTTCAAGTCAGATATCAAAGTTCTAAATTAACTGAAATGATTTTGAAGGATGATGTGAAGATGTTTATATACTTCAATGTTTTTTAAACATTTGCAAGTAGCATTTCCCTAGCAACCATTCTTATTGATTCATTAAAGCAGGTTAAGGCAAAGCTTCATTAACCTGGCTTGAGTTACATTATTTAATTAAGTCTTACCTCTTGAGAGTATTCAAAAGTCCAGATTAGCTGTCAACATAATAGGCATGGATTACTAAGCTTTTACTGTCCTACAAAAATCCATTTGGCTTATCATACAAAATATTTTCAAAGTTTTTCCACCTCACATGACTTTGACATTGAATTCTGTCTCTGGCCAAAGTAACCAGGCATGCTTGGGATCACCTTTAGAGATTGCCACTCCTAAGGAGTGCATACTTAGTTTTCGTTATCTTTAACATCATTTGTTTCTCAAATTCTTTGACTCAATCAACATGTATTCAAAACCTACTATGTGTCCAAGGCAAAGCAAAGGAATATTATCAGGGAGAAGATATTTATGAGTGGTTGCAACACATCATTCATTCAGCAAGTATGTCCTGAGTGTCTGCTATGCACTAAGCAGTCTCCAAACAGAATCAGTGCCTCGGGAAAACTCTGAAAAGGATCACAGGATCACTACAAAACTCTGCAGTCACAGGACCAGAGGCATCTTTAAAGGTTCTTTTTTTCCATCAGTGATGTCAAAATATAGAGTGCCTCATCAATCATGCTAGAGAGATCAAATTACCTGCTTTAAAAATCTTCACTCAAAAATTTTGCTTCAGGGGAGACTGGTTAGCTCAGCTGGTTAGAGCGCAGTGCTCATAACACCACGGTTGCCAGTTCGATCCCCATGCCCTCCACAACTAGATTGAAAAACAATTACTTGACTTGGAGCTGATGGGTCCTTAAAAAACCCACTGTTCCCCAATTAAAAAACAACAACAACAACAAAAAAACACACATTAAAAAAATTTTTTTTGCTTCACAAACTCTCTTGGTTCGCACATTATGGTTTTACAACTTGTTGCAGGAGAGACTAGGGGCAGCCTAGGGGCTGTGTGGGGGAGGATTTAGAGAGAGGAAGCATGTATGAAATAGAGAAAAAGAGGAAAGGAGTGTAATAGAAACCGTTTAGAGTAAAGAAACATAGGACATTCCTGAGTTTATGACACAATTTGGAGAATTATAGATGCCATTTTCATCTAATCAATTTCATCTAATTATCTAATCAAATAAAAAGAAGAATTTTAGGTGTGATGGGAGCTTTGAATTGAGGAATCAATTACTAAAGGAATCAGTGTCTGGGAGTCAAAGGAAAGTCAGAGAAGATTCCATAAACAGACAAGCGGTTTGCCTTGCTTCCCTGCTCGGATGGAATTATCCTTGCGCCCTTCCCTCTGGAGGTTTTCTAAGAACAAACATTCACCCTGGAGTTTCAGAGGCTACACACTGTCCTGCGTTCCACTGCATGATCTGGAATAGGACAACCCCAAATACAGAGGCCAAACAGGACGTGTTCTTGCTGCCTAAGATCCTCTGCCTTCCCAGCAGACTACTATGGTGTTGGGAAGTAATCCTGTAAGACAGTCAACTCCTGAGCCCATGAAGCACAGTGAATTTAACATGTTCTCTCAGGGCAGATTAAGCACAGAAACATCTGCTCTTTTCTCGGCGGTCATGCACACTGTCTTCCCCAGATGTTCTGAATCTGGTCCCGTAACCAACAGAGACCAAAACTCTCACTGACTCAAAGGTGGTTAATTAAACTCCCACAAATTTAACATCTTGCCAAATGTGTATTATGATAATTTCTGAGAGAGCTTTCATGTCTCATCTATTCAAGGAATACCAACATATTTAAGGAATTAAACGTTATTATATGTAATTTTCATTCATAAGCTTGGAAGTTGAAAAAAAATAAAGAAGAAAATGAAAAGATTCTTTACACAAATCAAAATGGGAGTTCATTATTTATCTTTTAGATTGGTGAAAAATAAAATGTTTGATGGTACCAACTGTTGGTAGGAATAGAGAAAAAGATACTTTTATAATTGGTTGGTAGAAAAGTAAACTAGCACAATCTGCATGACAATCTGACATTCTCTATTAAAATAAAAAATGAACATCTGCTTTGACTTACGGTTCCATCATTGGGAACCTAATCGATAGATACATCTATAAACATTCATCAAGATATATCTATAAGGGTATTCACTGTGACATTTTTAAAAAGCAAAAATACTGGAAATAAATAAATCATGGTACTTTCATATGAGAGAACACCAAACAAAAGTGGATGAATACACGCTGCTATGAAAAAAGAGCTCTAGATAAAAAAAAGCAAGTTGCAGAATAGTGTACATAACATATATTACTTTGATTTTCAAAAATGTCAGTAAAGCGAAGTGGAAAATCATTTTTTTTATTTGTACTTGTCTGTTAAAAGAAATAAATCTAAATTGTTATTTTAAAAGAAATTAGAGGAAAGAAATTATAATTTTTAACAGGTATTCTGAGCACTATTATTAACTTCTAGAGAGATCCAAGAAAATGTACTTCTCAGCAGTGGAACCAGCAAGAAGAATGGGAGGGATGCCTGTCTGAGCAGTCTGGTTTTTAAAAAAACTATGGGCATACATTGTTTCATAACATAAAAAAAACTGTAAAGTAAAAGTACTACACAAGTAACAACACTATTAAAATCAGAAACAGAAACATACTATAATAGAAGGTTTCAAACTAACTCTTGGAATGAATACATCTTTGAAAACACTGAGACCACAAGTAAGAGTGATTGATTGTCAGGCATTCAAACCAAAGGTGAATGTACTTTGTGTATCTTCTTCAGAGACTGAATGTCATTTCTCCTAGGTCGCTCTCCTGGGTGACTGAGTACAAGAGAGCTCCACTCACCTATTGTTCAAGGCTCCTCCAAAGTCACAGTCACAAGGTCGACATCCATCCAAATCGTTGCTTAAGCCCCAATGCTCTGGCTGTAGAACAAAAGATTAAACATCTAAAGGTGGGTTCCTGTAATTACACAACAGAGTCAGCAAGAAACAAGGTATGGCATGTTTTGATTGTTCCAAATGTTCATTTGCACCATGAAAGCAGAAAGCATACAAAAGAAATGAGTGTGAGAAACCCCAGCTGCAGATCACTGAGGTCAGAGAGGGTTCCACATAATCATGCGGTAATGCCAGATCAGTCATTTCCTTGCCCTGCAGAGAGCCTGCATCCAATAATAACCATGAGAAGGCAGCGAAGATGCCAGTTTTCTTCATTAGAATTACTCTGGCAGTAAAAGTTTTGGCGACTATTTGGCAGGCCTTTACATTTTTCCTAAGTTCTTCAAGGATTTGTCTGTGTGGAAACACAGCCTAAAGCAAGCATGTTTTCACAACTGAAAGGTGAGGAGATCATCTACTCCTGAGAACACCAGAGATGGTAATGCAATCTATGCGGGGACAGAATCTATATAGGGAAGAAGATCTCTTTGCGCCTTAGCAAATATTGGGTTGTTGGAAAGGTCATGATGTATTGTTTCCATGTTTTGCGTTGCAAAAATGCGTCATGACTTTTCCAATAACCCAATACACATTTCCTAATAAGCAATAAAAACCAGGTGCACCAATTTAAATCAGACTTCCAAAAATTTAACAATCTATCAGGATATGCGCATGTGCATATTTAGGGATCATCAGCATAGTTTGGGTTCAGTAGACCTCCTCTCCCATATTATAAAAGCAATCACAAAAATGTTATAAAAAATACAGAATAAGTTTGTAGAATTTCTCTCATAATTATTCTACCGGGGATCACTACAGTGAACTTTCTAGTGTATTTCTTTCCAGGTTTTGTTTTTCTTGATGAATTTTTTTCCCTACATAATCAAGATACTACTCATATTCTGAGGTGGTTTTTTTTTTTAATACCAGCACAAGTATTTCTTCATGTTAGTCACTTTCAGTGGCAACCAAATATCACACTACATAGAAGTCCCAAAATTTACTTACCTATTTTCCCCACTGTTGCTTCTAAGTTTTTCACAATGATTAATAAAAGATGCAATGACTTACTGGGTGATCACTTCATAAGGTATATAAGTGTCTAATCACTATGTTGTACACCTGAAACTAATATAGTATTATTTGAAAAGTAAATTAAAAAAAAAAAGATGCAATGAGTCCTCCAGTGAATACATTTTGTCCTATTTTCTGACTATTTCATCAGGATGGATTCCCACAAGTCAAAGGGTTTGTACTTCCCCACAGGCTACTGATACATTACCTCTAAAATGCTTTTCAAAAAATATGAATCAAATTGCATTTTCATCAGCAGCATATGAGTACCAGCCCCTATTTTGTCCTCACAAATAGTCAGCATTCCCATTTTTAAAAACTTTTATTAACTTTGTCTGTGAAAATGGTATTTCACTGTGGCTTTATTTTACAGTTCTAACGTGATAGTTAGCTTATTCATTAGTAATTCCTCTTTTGTGAAGTGTGCACTCACGTTTTTTAACATTTACATATACAGATGATGGTAGAATCTAGAATAGCAAAAAGCATTCTGAATTAAAGCATGTCATATTCACAAACCACAAATCCCATGTAATGAGGATTTACCTACCAGGCACTCGTCACAATGCTGTCCAGTCACCAGACGCTTACAGTAGCAGTAACCACTCTCAGAGTCACAAGGATTCCCGCCAGGAATAGTTCCCAGAGGATTGCAAGCACAAGCTTTGTTGAAAATAAAATGAAGGAAAGAAACATAAACCAAGGGAATCTGTAGTCTGGTTTAGAATTGCAAAGTAAAATGGGAATTATGCACATCTGAGAACTCCCAAACTTTTTAATAAATGTACTTACATTTACAACCAAACGGATCTTCAGCATTTAAACCATAGAAGGCTTCTTTGCAGATATCACAATGTTCTCCTTCCACATATAATTTACACCGACACTGACCAGCAATGAGGCCAGCAGAAAAATCTGTGTAACTGTCACAGACTCCCCCATTCTGAGAACCAGCTGGGTCACAGGTACATTCTAAGAAGAATGAAAATCACCAGGTGACACAATGTGTATGTCTGTATAAATACATATATTCCCCTCATCTTCCAAAAGTCACAAAAATAGACTAAAGAAGTCTGGACTACCAAGTAAATTCCACTCCCAGCATCCTATATCACAGATAAAACTATGCTGGGTCTGATGCCCAGACTGAGTTCCAAGAGAAGGATGGTGACTACCAGACTATTCAAATTGAAAGGTGACCCGAAATAGGTCCGACCTCATGACCTTTCCCCACGTACGTTCACAGAAATTAGGATCTCGGGTGTCTCTCTCCGGGTGCTGGTAGTAAAACGGCTTGCACTGTTCGCAGTTGCGTCCCATTGTGTTGTGCTGACAGTCATCACACACTCCTCCACTGACGTTTCCGGTGGCCAAGTAGGCCGCCATGTCAAAGTGGCACGAGCTGGAATGCTCATTGCAGTTACACTCTGCGTGACAAGACCAATGTCAAGAAAAGCCTTTAAAATCTATTTATCAATGCAGGGTGGGGTTGGAGGAAGAAAGCTCATTTTGGAAACTAGGGATGAAGTTCAGGCAAAACAGCAATTAACAAGAAGGCACTTGTGGTGAAAAAGGACACATTTACTTATGATATCAGCCTCAATCCTGAGAACCTTCCAAGTGGGAACTTCATGAAATAAACACAATGATCTGCCCTCTTTGGAAAACAATGGGCTATAACAAGTTGAAAACCTTTGGGGAAAGTCCCCTTGGAAGCTTGTCGGCAGGAAGGTTGTCACTGCATGGAGGACGCCTTTGGGTCCCGCTCAGGGTGGGATGGGAATATACCTCTAGAGGATTTCCTAGGCGCTACACTCCTAGAGAAGTCTGTTTGGGCTGCCAGCTTGGAGGAACATGGCATGAAGGCCTGACTCGCTTCCTTGCATTTCCACCACCACACTAGGCCAGGCTCTTTAGTGAGAAGTAAGGTCTGCTTAACAGCCATCTAGCCTGCTTGAGTGCAGCTGTTCCTCCTCTAGCCTACTCAGCAGTCATTTTGGTCCAACCTAGCTTTAATCATCTCACTCTCACAGTCAACAAGCCACATGATTCCTCTTATCATCTCACAACGAAGTTGAACTCGGCTTGGCCCGCACAGGGCTCAGCCTTATCTGTCTCCTCGCTGTAACACTGCGTCCTGTAGACAGGGGCTGGGTCTTGTCCACTGAAGTGGGCTCAGCACCTAGCACAGTATTGCCCCTGATACACTGGTTGAATTAAACCTCAAAATCGTTTCCCAGCATAGACTGATGGGGTCATGACAAGGTCCTTGGGACCTTGTGCTCAATGTTGTTCTCCTTACCCAAAGTCCCTTCCACTTTCCTCTTTTTCTCCTTCTCTCTACCTAAACAATCTTCACTATTCACCAAGGGCCAGCTGGGTGGTACTTACTGACAAAACCTTGACCACTCCAGCCTTCACTGCCTTCTCATGAATTTCTTCTACAACAGCCCTACTCAGTGGGGGCCCACACAAGGGCAGGATAGTATATCAGAATCACTGTGTGTCGGGGGTGGTGTTTCAAACACACCTCTGCCCAGAGAATACCATTGAGATATATGGATGTATGAGTGGAAGGAATGAAGCCAGAGGCTACTGCTAGGCTGGCAAAGAAACAAGGCCAAACATTCCATATCTCTTCAACCTTAATTATCTGCCATGCCATATTTTTCTTTCGTTTTTCTCTCATGCTCATTTTGCCTTAAAAACAGGTACAATGTCAGGGAAAACATCTTCTTCTTCTACTGAATCTGCTAAACACATAGGTGCTACTCAGTAAATACTCATTTATTAATTTAATTGAGTGAATATTGGTTTCCTAAGATTAGTGTGAAGCTGGGAAAAGGGTAGTAAGTTTTGCAAAATAGTGTACTATTATTTTACCTCTAATCAAAAAATGGATACCGGGGTCTGAATTGATTCTAAATTGTCCCTTTGACCAAGACTTACTTTTACAGGCATTGCTGTTTCGGCCTTCAGCAGGTCTCCATGGTAAATCATGGTAGAAATCCATGCACAACTCACAGTTTAAGCCCTTGGTATTATGCCTGCACATGCAGTGTCCGTGAACCTTGAAAGTTGTAAAAACAGAAATGAGTAAAGTAAGAGATATACTAATGGCCACATTTCCTCCATGATCAGTGGAAAATATAAACCCATTTTCACACTCCTCCTAATCTCTAGCACACACACTGAGGGGTTCTTTGTTTTCATTTTGTTGTCCGCCCGCCCTGCCCCAAATGAATTCTGTCATGTTGAAATGAATGCTATAATGCCCATCACTAGGAACAGTTCCTATTATATAATGGATACTCAGTAAACATTTTACTAAACTATCAATGAAAAGAACCCAGATAAATAAAATTAGTAACTTCAGAATTTTTTTAAAAAACAAACTAATTTTTTAAGAGTTAAAAAATGTATTATTATGATAGACATCAAAATTTATAATGCAGAACTAAATGTATACACACCACTTGGGAACGAACTCACATTACTGTAAGTTCTACCACTGAGCCATAGAAAGAAAGGTTTTTGTTGGCTTGTTTTGCTTTTGACTTCAGGCACAGCACTTAAATTTTTTTTCAACCAATGTTTCTACATTTATATTTTTCCTTTTACATTTTTTTCCTTTAAGAAAGAAAATATAAAATCTCAGAAAGAGATACAAATTATTTTGCTCTATTAGGGCCCATTATACACTACTTTGCATTGTGACACTCCAAAGCACACTGAAGCCCGAGGCGCACAAATAATAAATTATTTCAGTCTACCAAATATGCACACATGCAGGCACCTCACCTTAACATTAGTTTCTATAGAATGGAATTCGGGAACAGGACAGACAGGTCTACCCTGGACCTACTTGGACAGGAATGCAGTTAGCAGGAGACTAAAATCCTGTCATTACAAGGTGGTTTCACACAGACGGAAAACCAGTTTCAAAGCACACACCACAGGACTCTACAGCGTCTGAATAAACAGTCCAATGTACTGTGAGATGTGTGATAATGACATGATGGCATGACATGAGCTACACACCACATGGATTACACTGCAAAGTAAATACAATCTTCATAGCATTCTTTGAACGATGTAGCAACAAGATTAGGAAACATCTACCCTTTAGGCTCCATTAAAAATTCAACTTTATTTATGCAATAAGTTTCTAACTGGAGTAAAAGGCAGACTCAAGTTTCAGACAGTCACATACATTCAGTCCTGCACTTTCTTAGATGAGGAATTACAAACTGTGAGAAGGCAAAAGGCAGGGGCAGCCAGGCACACCCTTCCTCCAGGAGGCAAACCCACCACCCTCCTGGAAAGAACCCTGGGGCAGTCAGGAGAGCCGGTCAATCTCCACCTGCCTGCCATTTACTTACTTAGGCCCTGTGGCAAGTTATTTAATCCCTTGTTTTATTTATTTATTTATTTTTAAAGATTTTATTGGGGAATTGGG